CTCCGGCTCCTGGGTTCAAGCGATTCTCCTGCCTCAGCCTCCTGAGTAGCTGTGATTACAGGTGCCCGCCACCACGCCCAGATAATAGACAACTTCTCTGGGCTCAGACAGCCTGTCAGATGCTGATTTAAGACTCAAAACCAGCCTCTGCAATCCCTGCTGAACGTTGTGCTCCCCCATGCTGTAGTGAGCTAGCATGGTGCCTGGTGTAGCCTTAATCTTAAACGCCATGGCTTGTTTGGATCTGGCCTTGGGAGCTTTCAGATTTTATCAAGCCCCTTCAGTTGACTGGCTGAGTAATGATATTACATGATGTTTGATGTGCTCCTCTCCTCCTCAGAATCATTAAAAAAAAAAAAAAAAATTACTTTCTGTTCCTTTTAGAATGACTGAGCATGATTCAGGTGGAGTACATTAAAACCCTCGGGGAAAATACAGTTTCGAAACCTATAAGGTTATCTTTGCCCAGGAACCTGGAAGAAGGTCTCCTTATATAGATGAGGAACATGGGACCCAGTGAAGTGACAGGCCCATGGTGGGTGCAGGGGGCAACCCCTGTTTTGAGCTGCCATTGTCCATTCTTTTGGTTCTGATAATGGCACCTTGGTTTTTCTTTCAGGAGTCAGCTAGGTTTGCTGGATACAATAGAAGCCATCTGGTTAAATTTTAACTTCAGATAACACAAAAGTTTTTTTTTCTTTTTTCCTTTTTTTTTTTTTAATTTCTGTTGAGGTAGGCTCTCGCTCTGTTTTCCAGGCTGGAGTGCAGTGGCGCGATCTCGGCTCACTGCAAGCTCCACCTCCCGGGTTCCCGCCATTCTCCTGTCTCAGCCTCCCGAGTAGCTGGCACTACAGGCGCCCGCCACCGCGCCCGGCTAATTTTTTTGTATTTTTAGTAGAGACGAGGTTTCACTGTGTTAGCCAGGATGGTCTCGATCTCCTGACCTAATGATCCACCCGCCTCGGCCTCCCAAAGTCCTGGGGTTACAGGAGTGAGCCACCACACCCAGCCCAAAAGTTTTTCTAGTATACCTCAAGTATTACGTGGGACATATGCTGAAAAATTATTCACTGTTTATTTAAAATTAAAATTTACCTGGATTTCCTGTATTTTTATTTGTCACATTTAGCAATCATAACACCTTTCAGCTCAAATGGCTTACACAACACTTTTATTTTAAATTCAAGGGTACATGTGCAGGTTTGTTGTATAGGTAAACTCATGCTACAGGGGTTTGTTATACAGAGTGTTTCACCATCCAGGTATTAAGCCCAGTATCTATTAGTTATTTTTTTTCTGATCCTCTCCCTCTTCCCACTGTCCACCTTCAGGTAGGCCCCAGTGTCGTTGTTCCCTTCTGTGTGTCCGTGTGTTCTTATCATTTGGCTCCCACTTGTAAGCAAGAACATGCAATATTGGGTTTTCTGTTCCTGTGTTAATATACTAAGGATAATGGCTTCCAGCTCCATCCATGTTCCTGCAAAGGACATAATATTGTTCTTTTTCATGGCGGCATAGTATTGCATAGTGTAGTGTACCACATTTTCTTTATCCAATCTACCATTGATGGGCATTTAAGTTGATTCTATATTAGTTGAACTCAAATATTTAGGGTGGGACTGACTTCTCCCACTCTGGCTCCAGGAGTAGACGGGTGACCGAGGCTTGGCCAATTAGCACATCTGGTCCCTTTGAGTGACAGAGATTGATTCAGAGATGGGCACATGACCAAAAACAGGCCAATGAGATTGAATTCTGGGGATCTGGCACTTTTGAGAGAGAGATTATTTCTTTTTCTTGGAGTTGCTAAGCTGTGAAACTGGCTCCTATGATTGAACAAATGAGAGCCTGCTTGAAAAGTGAAGTCAAGCAAGAGGAAAACAATTGAGAGATGGCAAGGAGAAGAGAAAGAGGGAAGAGATTGAACCTCAAAGACATTGTAAGGGCTCCTGGGATCAGCCTCAACTGAATTTTACCTGCATCTCTCAAGTTGATGGTGAGGACTATTTGGATGATGGTGGAAGTAAAGATAATAGTAGAAATGTGATGGAGCTGACAGCAAAATTATCAGTGATGATGGTTTTAGAAAAGATCTATTTTCATCAAGATAGTGGTGGAGGGGTGATGAAACAGAATGGTCTGCAGAATCAAGGGACGGTATATTCTTGCTGGTGATAGCTCTGCCAGGGTGCTGATGCCCTTGATAATGAAGACGAGGATGACAGTGATATAGATTAAGGTGGTATTGGCAAGGAAGAATAAAGTAACAAGGAAAAGGATAATTCTCAACCCCAGCCTATCACCAAACTCTACCAGTTCTACTCCCTCAACTTTTAAAAACTCTATACACTCACTTTCTGTTCACTGCTGCCCCCACCCTAGCCCAAGTCAGCAGGATCTTGCTGCTTCCTCTATGATGTCCTCCTAACTGGCCTTCTTGTTCCCTTTCTTGTCTCTCTGTATTCTATATTCCACACTACAGCAAGCATAGTGAGATTTTTTTTTAATACGTTAGTTAGAACATTTTACTTTCGTGCTGAAAACGGTTCAGTGGTTTGGACTAAAATCGAAACTCTATCGTGGATCTCAAGACCTGTGTGACCTAACCACTTCTTATACCCTCCATCTCATTTCCCTCTGCTTGCTCTTCCCTTACTACATTGTAGCCTGATAGCCCTTCTTTTGACTTCTTTAGAATGGACGAAACGCCGCATATAAGCCATTCTCTAGACATGGATACTTTTATAACCTTCATGTCTCAGTGTCAGTGTCACTTCCTCAGAGAAGCCCAGTGAGATCTCCCCTCTGGTACTTTCTCTCATAGCACCCTGTCTTAAGCACACTTTGATGATTCTCTTCCAACCTGACCAGCACCTATCAACTTTTGGACCAGGACACAATGGTCCCTTAAGAATGGATCACAGGGCCAGGCACGGTGGCTGAAGCCTGTAATCCCAGCACTTTGGGAGGCCGAGACGGGAGGATCACAAGGTCAGGAGATAGAGACCATCCTGGCTAACACGGTGAAACCCCGTCTCTACTAAAAAATACAAAAAACTAGCCGGGCAAGGCGGCAGGTGCCTGTAGTCCCAGCTTCTCGGGAGGCTGAGGCAGGAAGTGAGGCAGGGAATGGCGTAAACCCAGGAGGTGGAGCTTGCAGTGAGCTGAGATCCAGCCACTGCACCCCAGCCTGGGCGACAGAGTGAGACTCCGTCTCAAAAAAAAAAAAAAAAAAAAAAAAAAAAAGAATGGATCACAGGAGTGCAAGATTTTGATTCCTCAGCCATAAGGTCAGCCTTGAGAGGCCTTTAGTAGCTGTATCCTGAGGATTGGTCATCCCCAGTATCTAGAAGCCTCTTCTATTAATGAGCCATGCAAATATGAGTATTTTCTCTGTGTCCCTTGTGTGTAAAAGGCTGGGAAGCCTAGACCTATATTTCTTAGGGCAGGACTTCTTTTTGGATTGTTCACACCTACTCTTCTTAACATAGACTATAGGATCAGACACATGAAGAAGGTACAGAAGTATTTCTTTACGGAATAAAAGGTTTATGGTGGTGAGAAGGTGGTTGAATGGATAAGAGTGATGGTGATGATAAAGAGGAGAGTGGTGCTGGTGCTGGTGGTGGTAGTGATGATGGTGATGGTGGTGGTGGTGATGGTAATGATGGTAGTGGTAATAGTGATAATGGTGGTGATGATGGTGATGATGGTGATGGTGGTATGATGGTAGTGGTAATGGTTGAATTAGTGATGGTGGTGGTTGGTGGTGGTGGTGAGTGATGGCGGCGATGGTGATGACAATGGCAATGGTGGTGATAGTGATGGTGGTGGTGGTGGTGGTAATGGTGGTGATGATGGTGGTGTTGTCCATGGTGATGGTGGTGGTGGTGATTATGATGGTGATGATGGTGGTGTTGGTGATGCTGCTCCTGGTGGTGATGGTGGTAGTGGTGGTGATGAAGATGATGGTGATGGTAGTGATGATGGTGTTGGTGGTGGTGATGGGGTTGCTGTCCATGGTGATGATGATGGTGGTGGTGTTGGTGATGCTGCTGGTGGTGATGGTGGTGATGATGATGGTGATGGTAATGATGATGGTGGTGGCGTTGGTGGGGATGATGGTGATGGTGATGGTGGTGGTGGTGATGATGGTGATGAAGATGATGGTGATGGTGTTGCTGTCTGTGGTGATGTGGTGGTAGTGGTGGGGGTGATGATGATGGTGGTGGTGTTGGTGATGTTGCTGGTGGTGATGATGATGGTGATGGTAGTGATGATGTGGTGGTGGCGTTGGTAGGGATGATGGTGATAGTGGTAGTGATGGTGTTGCTGTCCATGGTGATGGTGGTGGTGGTGATGATGGTGATGAAGATGATGGTGATGGTGTTGCTGTCTGTGGTGATGGTGGTAGTGGTGTTGGTGATGATGGTGGTGGTGTTGGTGATGTTGCTGGTGGTGATGATGATGGTGATGGTAGTGATGGTGGTGGTGGCGTTGGTGGGGATGATGGTGATGGTGGTGGTGATGGTGTTGCTGTCCATGGTGATGGTGGTGGTGGTGATGGTGGTGATGATGATGATGGTGATGGTGGTGATTATGGTGGTGGTGGTGGTGCTGATGATGGTGATGGTGGTAGTGATGGTGTTGCTGTCCATGGTGGTGGTGATGATGGTGAGGTGTGTTGGTGATGCTGCTGGTGGTGTTGGTGATGCTGCGGTGTTGATGGTAGTGGTGATGATGGTGATATGGTGGTGATGGTGTTGGTGGTGGTGGTGATGTTGGTGGTGGTGGTGGTGGTGGTGGTGATGTTGGTGATGGTGGTGGTGATGCTGGTGGTGGTGATGGTGGTGGTGATGATGGTGATGATGGTGGTGGTGGTGATGGTGTTGGTGGTGGTGGTGGTGATGGTGTTGGTGGTGGTGGTGATGATGGTGATGGTGGTGGTGATGGTGTTGGTGATGGTGGTTATGATGGTGATGGTGGTGGTGGTGGTGATGGTGATGGTGGTGGTGATGGTGGCAGTGGTGGTGGCTATGATAATGAAGAAAGACTTTGGGGGTACAAATGATAGATTCTGAGGACCTGGACTACCTCAGTGCTTTAGAGAACTTTTATGAAAAACTGATGTGCCTTTTCCCATTCTAGTCAGCCCAGACTACACTTGAAGGTGGATTTTGGAGGAAGGGTGCTTGGAGCTGGAGGGACTCTTGGAGATGATTTGCAAATCCTGGCAGGACTGTGAGGCCCGCCACACCCCTCCTTCCTACTGCCCCAGGTGGTCCCAAGGCCGCCTTCCCTTCCACACCCGTAGCCTCCAGCGCTCCAGGGCTGGGGACCGCCCCCGTCTGTGCTGCGTGCGCACTCCGAGCTTGTCCTCGGCGGCGAGAAGGAGGGCGCAGAGGGTCAGCTGCGACCCGGCCAGAACAGGAGCTGCGGGAAGACCCTGGAGAGCAGGGCTGGGAGTGGGGAGCTGGCAGTGTGGGGCCAAGAAAAAGGGTTAGGGCGAAAAGCCAGAGTCAGAGGCAGAGAGGGGAGCAGAGAGGGGAGCATCTCGGGTCGGGGGAAGGGTTCGTGGAGAGTGAGGCAGGGGAATGGAGGGAGTAGGGGTCTGGGGAAAGTGAGGATTTTGAAGTGAGAGAGTCCGCTTGGGCTGGGCGTGGAGGGCTGAGGGTGGAGTGGGGCTGAGGGACAAGGTGGGTTAAGGTGCTGGTGGGGAAGGACTAGGGCTTCCAGGAGGGTCTGAAGGCGGAGGTGGAGGTCGGACAGCACAGGTGAGGGGGTCTGCAGGTAGAGCTGGCGTTGGAGGTCTGGGAGCGTGGACTGGGGCTGAGCAGGCGCGTGCAGATCGGAGCCGGCAGGTGAGGGTCTGAGGGTGGATCCAGGGTCTGAGCTAGGGCCAGGGGTCCAAAGGAAAGGCTTTCAGATCTGAGCTCGGCGGCTCCGGCGGTGGAGCTGGGAGCCCGCGGTGGCCTACTGGTGACGGGGGCGGGCACAGAGGGGTCGCGCCTCGGCCGCAGGAACCCGCGGCTGCTGGTCCTGGGCTCGGCGATGCAGGTGCACCTGGGCGGGCTGGCCGGCGCGGCTGCGCTGACCGGGGCGCTCAGCTTTGTGCTTCTGGCGGCCGCCATCGGCACGGACTTCTGGTACATCATTGACACCGAGCGACTGGAGAGGAGCGGCCCGGGGGCGCAGGACCTGCTGGGGTCCATCAATCGCAGCCAGCTGGAGCCTCTGAGCTCCCACTCCGGCCTCTGGCGGACCTGCCGGGGTAAGGGTGCACCCCGGGGCTGGGAGCTGTGGCTGCGAACTCCCCCTGCACGGTGCCCTGCTCGCTTGGGACCTGTTGCTTGGCGCGCACTCCTCCCCCAAGTTCCTAGAATGCAATGTCTAGAGACTCGGGGGGAAGGTGAGCAGAAGGCCGGTACTGTGAAAGCCCTTCCGAGAGGCGCCCGCCTGCGATCCCAACTGCTCTAGTTCTCGCCATGCCCTCCCCGGGTGGGGCACTTAGGGTGAGCATGGGGGCAAAGCCGCGGACAGGGGTTCTGCGCAGAACTCCGGGGTCCTGCGCCCATGGATTCCTCCGTCCTATCCAGTCCAGAGCCCGTGCACACCGCTGATGAACCCCTTCTGGCTGGAGAATGTGACAGTCAGCGAATCCAGCCGGCAACTTCTCAGTGAGTCCGGGGAGGGTGAGGATGGAGGAAGCCCCCAGTCCTAGCCGTGGGTTCTGGAGCCCTTCCCCAAACAGCTGGGCTTCAGAGCTTGCGGAGGGGGTGGCTGGGGTGGCCTCTGACAGTCCGGCCTGAGAATGCAGTGGGCATAAGACCCAGGGGCGGGGTCTCTCCTGATCCACCTGTGACGTTTTATGGTTTAGGGTTTATTCAGCTGACGTTGACTAATGGCGTTCTTTGCACCGTTTTGATTGATGGTTAAGACACAGGCCATCCCCTTAAGGAGCTCACAATGGTGCTGGGGACAAATGTGGAGATGCGCAGTTAGAGTTCAGAGTTCAGAGCAGCGTGATGAGGGGAAGGTGGAAAGACTCTGCAGAAACCTAAATTAGCCTGGGGAGGTGAATGGTGAAAAGAGAGGTCTCATTCCACAGATTCCATGCCAGCGGTGTTTGTATCCACATTTCCTAGAACAAGGACTTTGCAGTAGTGGGGTGCGATAAAAATTTGCATATAAATATGTGATTGGAGCCAGGCAATTAGGAGGTGGGAACAGCCCCTCCTCCCAGGGCCATTGTGTCCCTGTTATTCAGAGTTGGTTCCTGGTACCCAGCTCAGCGCCTGGAACTCAGTAGAAGTTGTGAGGACTGAAAGCAAGAAAGGAAATGGGATGAACGAGCATTTGTGGAGGGAGGGAAATAAACGTAACAGTTCAATTCATTGAGGCTTGCGATAAGCCAGACATGGAGTGAACTGCTTTTCATCTATGTCTTCATTTGATTCCTACAGCCACACCCTATGAAGTTATCAGTATCTTCATTTCTGCCTTCATTTTTCCAATGAGGAGGCCCAGAGAGGTTCTGTAGGACGATCTGATGAGGAAATGAAGACTGAGTTTTGTAGGCTTTGAAAATGTGGGCAGGTTTTTTTTTGAGACAGGGTCTTGCTCTGTCACCCAGGCTGGAGTACAGTGGCACAATCTTGGCTCACTGCAACCTCCTCCTCCCAGGTTCAAGCAATTTTCCTGCCTCAGCCTCCCGAGTAGCTGAAACTACAGGTGCTTGCCACGACGCCCGGCTAATTTTTTGTATTTCTAGTACAAATGGGGTTTCATCATGTTGGCCGGGCTGGTCTCGAACTCCTGACCTCAAGTGATCTGCCCATCTCAGCCTTCCAAAGTACTAGGATTACAGGTGTGAGCCTGTAATTGGGACCAGGTTTTGTTTTTTTTTTTTAATTAAAAAAGATATTTATTTATTTATTTATTTTAAATAGTGATAGGGTCTTACTGTGTTTCCCAGGCTGGTCTTGAACTCCTGGCCTCAAGTGATGTTCCTGCCTTGGCTTCCCAAAGTGTTGGGATTTCAGGTGTGAGCCACTGTGCCTGACCTTCTCCCTCCACCCAACCCTACCCAGAGACAGGGTCTTGTTCTGTTGCCCAGGCTGGAATGCAGTGGCACAATCATAGCTCACTGCAGCCTCAAACTCCTAAGCTCAAGAGATCTTCCTGCCTCAGTCTCTCAAAGTGCTGAGATTATAGGCATGAGCAGTTTTTGATAGACTTATTGAGGCTGGGGATAAAAAAATAGACAAGTGCCTAGCGTGGCCCACAAGGCCTGGTAGGTCCCTCTCCAGCCCCATTCTCCCTTTTACTCCTTTCTCTCCAGCGGGGCTGGCCTTGGTCAGTTCTTGGAACATGCCAAGTTTCCTCCTGCCACAAAGATTTTGCACAGGCTGTTCCTTCTACCTGGAATCTCCCTGCTTTTATCCCACCACCTTGACTTGGCTAACTCCCACTCATAGTGCAGGTTGTATGACTTTTTTTGGGGGGTTTAAATCTGACTCCTTCATTAGATTGAAAGTTTCATGGGGACAAGGACCATGTCTGTCTTGCCACTGCTGAATTCCCAATGTTTAGCATAGAACCTGGCACATAGCAGCCCATGAGTCAAAGTTTGCTGAACAAACATGTTAGTGAGTGCAAATTATATTATACTGTAGGTGGAGCTCAATATATGTATTCATTGTATGAATGTATGGGTTCATGGTGAACTGAAACTGTTTCTCTAAAGTCCAGAGGCATTGTGGGAAATATTGAACAACTGGATCTCTGCAAAATTAAAAGAAATAAAGCCCTGGTTTGTAGCATTTGCCAATTTCTGTGGTGCAAATACTTCCACCATGGCCAATTTCAAGATACCAACATGATGTTACCTGGCTCACAAAATTCTCAAAATCTTAATTGGCCCTCGTGAGCTGATGAGTCAGCTCCTGCACACTGCTGTGTAAAGTCCCACCAAAGGAGACATACCCTAGACACCTGCAATGTGTGGGAGTTGACGAAAGGTGAAGGTACTGCATGCTCTGTCCTGAGCCCCAGACTGCACAACGGGGAACTTTGAGTGTCTTTGAAGCACTGTTTCAAGAATTATAAGAATTTGGCAAGGCGTGGTGGCTCATGTCTGTAATCCCAGCACTTTGGGAGGCTGAGGCAGATCACCTGAGGTCAGGAGTTCGAGACTAGCCTGGCCAACAAGATGAAACCCCATCTCTGCTAAAAATATAAAAATTAGCCTGGTTTGGTGGCACATGCCTGTAGTCCCAGCTACTCAGGAGGCTGAGTCACAAGAATCGCTTGAACCTGGGAGGCAGAGATTGCAGTGAGCTGAGATTGCGCCACTGCATTCCAGCCTGGGCAACAGAGTGAGACTCTGTCTCAAAACAACAACAACAACAACAACAGAAAACGAATTATAAGAATTATTGTCATGGAAGTGAGGGAAATGGGGGCCACGTCCCAGCTAAAACCCTTATAGAGGCCTTCTGTGATCCTGGGATAGGTGTCTTAACCTCTCTGGGCCTCAGTGTTCACATCCATCAAACTGAGATGTGGATACCATCAAGGGATATGGTTAGAATTCCATGAGAGGGGATAAAAATGGATGAACAAAATGGACCTTGCCTAGGACCAGTCATAAAGGAATGACCAGACTTGTCAGCAAGGAGTGACTTGACATCAAGGTTCCAGACATATGGTAAGTGCTTAGTAAGCATGAACTCTTCCTTTGCCCTTCCTTTCAGCCTCCTTCTAGAGGTAGTAACATCTATGGAATGCTGATCCTTTGCCAAGCTGGGTGTGGGCATTCAGCCGACTTATTACATCCGTGGGTCAGTTGGACAGCTAACCACAGTAGGCACTGGGCTGGCTTCCTCTTCAAACTTGACAATGGAACAACTCTGCTTGTTCCAGGATTTTGAGAAACAGCGTAACTCACATGCACAGTCTATTCATTCGTTCACCCTCAGTCCTAGGGCTAACCGGCAGTTTCACCGCCAAGTAGGCACGTGACCATGGGCGTTTCCTTATTTCGTTATACCTCTCTGAGCCTCAGTTCCCTCCTGTGCAAAATGAGGATAATTGTCATCTCTTTTTCTAAGGTTATTGTGAGGCTAAAACAGGAGAGTGTATTTAAAGAGCCTAATGTGGTGCCTGGCCTCCGTAATTGTGCTATAAGTGGTAGCTGCTATTATTTCCATTATATCATCCAGGAAAAAGGACAAGCTGCCCCTTCATACCATGTACTCCTTGCAAATCACCCCCAGAAAGAGCTTTTTTTTTTTTTCTCCTCCGCATAATCTCTTTTTCTTCCAAAATGAATTTTGAGTTTGGTCCAAGCTCTTCTATTACATGAAGACATTTCATTCCTTTAAGGACCTGCTGCAGAGGCCATAGAGGAGAAGCTAGCTGACAAGCAGCATGTTCGACAAGCAGCATGTTCTCTTAAGTTCAGCCTCCTAGACAAATCCTTGTGGGGGTGTATGGGAAGAAATCCTGATTTTACCTCTAAGAAAACCCTCACAGAGAGACCACTTCAGTGCCAAATAATTCGCTGTAATCACCTGGCAGATGGAGGGCTGTGAGGGAAGTCCCACGATCTAACTTGCCTTCTGATATGGTTTGGCGGTGTCCCCACCCAAATCTCATCTTGAATTGTAGCTCCCTTAATTCCCACGTGTTATGGGAGGGATCTAGTGGGAGGTAATTGAATCATGGGAGCAGGTCTTTCCCCTGCTGTTCTCGTGAGAGTGAATAAGTCTCACGAGAGCTGATGGTTTTATAAAGGGGGTTCCCCTGCACAAGCTCTCCTGCCTGCCACCATATAAGACGTGACTTTGCTCCTCATTTACCTTCAGCCAGGATTGTGAGGCCTCCCCAGCTGTGTGGAACTGTGAGTTCATTAAGCCTCTTTCTTTTATAAATTACCCAGTCCCAGGTATGTTTTTGTTTTTGGTTTGTTTTTTGAGATGGGGTTTTGCTCTTGTTGCCTAGGCTGGAGTGCAATGGTACGATCTTGGCTCACTGCAACCTCCACCTCCTGGGTTTAAGTGATTCTCCTGCCTCAGTCTCCTGAGTAGCTGGGATTATGGGTGCCCACCACCACACCTGGCTATGTTTTTGGTATTTTTAGTAGAGACGGGGTTTCACCATGTTGGCCAGGCTGGTCTTGAACTCCTGACCTCAGGTGATCTGCCTGCCTTGGCCTCCCAAAGTACTGGAATTACAGGGTGGGCCACTATGCCCAGCCAGGTATGTCTTTATTAGCAGCATGAGAACAGAGTAACACATCTCCTTAATTCTACTTAGCCACCTTGGGAGAGTGGAGTTGAGCAGAAATATCAAGTCCATAAACAGGTACATCCCATAACCTCCACTCTTTCAGCCACAGAGAGAAGTTTTCAATGAAACAGGTTCCTTGTCAGCAAAATCCACTTTGCTGAATGAAGTGTTTTGCCTTCCAGATTAGCTCTGGGGAAGTCATGGGTTTGTTCTTGGGCTAGGGACTGGAATTATTTTTGGTAGAAAGGAGGTCTTCAAATTCAGCACAGTGTAGATGAAAGAGCTATGGTTTAGAATGAACCAGGCTAGCTGTATCAGCCAGGATCTTTTTGGTGGCAAGTGACAGAAACTCAAATCTTACGGGCTTCAATAAGAAAAGAAATTA